AGCAGCTGTGTTGCCTCCACCCAGTGCCACTCTGGCCCCCAGTGCCACCGACTCAAGGCAGCCGCTTTCCACTGCTGCCCCCAAGGCCGGGGGCTCCTTCGAGATCCTCCCAGCCCCCAAGCCAGACTTGGCTGCCATCCCTGCCCACGACCTGCAGGCGCAGGCCCTGGCCAAGCTGCGCCTCAACTCGCGCAATTCCTTCCTCTTTGTGCCGCGTCGGGAGGGGAGACTGACTTCACAGCCTCCGGCCCAGAGCACCAGAGCGGGGCTGCCCCCACCGCCCTTGGAGCGTGAGGTCCAGCAGGAGCCTCCAAGGGCTTCTGCTAAGGAGCACGAAGAGCCTGTTGCTTCTCAGGCGGCGCCTCAGGATCCTATCGTGCCCGTGACTTACATTGATGACATTGTGGAGCCGGACAGCGGGGAGCTTTCCCACAGGGGTGGCACGGCCATGAGGACAGGCACCTTGGCAGAGCAGCCTCAAGAAGCTGCCTCTGACCTGGAGATGGAGTATTCCTCTGTGCCCCTCTATAAACCCCACGCTGTCTGCCCCACCAGCCGTCAGCGAGGAGGCAACACGTTCACTGTAGTGCCCAAAAGGAAGCCCGTCGCCTCGGGCTTGCAGACTTTGACTGAGGCCAGCAGACGGTCACAGCTGGAGGAAGACGAGGAGGAGGAGGAAGGCAAAGGAAAAGGCAAAGCTGTGGAGAATGCCGAAGTGTCCCACACAGGGACTGCTCTTAAAAAGCGCTACCCCACTGTGAATGAGATTGAAGTGATTGGTGGCTACCTGTCCCTGGAGAGGTCCTGCATGAGCAAAACGGGCCGCCGTAAGAAGGTAATTGCCGGAATTGCCTCTCACTCTTGAGTCGTGGTGCTAAAAGGAACTTCTTTCACTTGTCCAGTCTTTTCTGTGAGCTTTGAGATTGTAACTTGATGAGCACCTCTGTGGGCATCCGGGTGGGAAAATGGGCAGCACTGTCCAAAGCCCATGGTCTGTTTTAGAGCCAGGGGTGCCTTCGAGGGGGAAAGGACTGGGTCCCGTCTCATGAAATATATCAGACTGGGACATGACCTGGGATAACTGCCGTGTCTCACTTACCATCCCTTTTGGTTTCCTTTTTAAGCATGCGATGTGCTAACAGAAAGTAAAAACGCTTGTGTGTTCAGCAAGCACGGCCAGTCGCACGGTTTGGCTGCAGACTTCCCTGCTTGGCGGCTCTGCCGCTGTGTGTGACGAGCAGGTCCCTGGGCCCGCCGCCCCTCTTGTCGCAGGGTCTACTGCGCAATGGGATGTTGGCGACCTTGTTGGATTAGTAATCTATTGATAGAGGCTCAAGAACTAGGTCTCTATTAGGCAGAAGAAAGATCAGCAACAACTTAACTCCTCTTGATATGATTAGGCCACCTGTCCGCTCATTATGGTGCTTGTCCCCCAAGCAGCATGAGGCATCTATTGCTCCAGGCATCTTTGGAACGAATGCCAGGTTTTTCTCCCCGTTTGGGATCTAACTTTGATCCTTGTGCGAACCTCAAATTGAGGGTGAAGTATTGCGTGGCTTCAGGAAATGCAGCTGTATGTGATAAAGACACAGTCGTATTGAAACAGCAGATTATTTTGCCGTGCCGAAGAAGCGGGTGTGAGTTGTTCTTCTCCCCAGGCAGCGCACTGTGGCAATGAACAGCAGAGGGATGAGATTATGTCGTTACAAATCCTCATCTGTAGCTTTGAGACGTGGCATGTTTTTCCAAAGCAGGAAGAGATGTTTGACTTTCTGTTACCTAAACTCGACTAAATATTTGATGGACTGAATCTGTGGGGGTGCCCGAGGCACTTGGCATTATGGTTTGAGGAAATCCTTTGAATAGGGCGCATCTCATTTAGCAGGGAGGTAGCAGAGTGCGGCTTCTCGTGGCTTAATGTTATTATGTTCCTTGTAAGAGCACACAGCCCATATTAATTTGATTGTGTCTAATGCAGGTGGCAGTTAAGCATGACAGCCCTGCATCAGAATAAGCAAATAAGCAAATAAGTTTCTCGCCAAGTGTTACTGCAATTATTCCTTGTCCTGTTGCAGGGAAGTGGTTGGTCAGAGTGGGATCATTCTGGTTTTTAAATACCTTCTGGCTTGTATGGATTCTGGCAGTTTTCTTGGTTCTACTCTGTTCAGTTTGGGATAGAAACCAGATGGGTATTAAATCAGGTATCACGTGCATAGTGTAAATGGTGGAAATAACAAGAAGGCATATTACAGTTAGAGGTGGTCTTAGGATGGAGCAGAAAGCAAAAAGGAAATGTTGGGGACAAACCTCTCTAGGTAAGCTCAATTTCTGACGCAGTCAAAGGAGCTCTGCAGGTAACAGAACATAGATAGCCTCAAGTAAGCAAAAATAACTAAATGTAATGTGGTGGAAACTGTCATTAAACAGAAAACAGAGGGAGAGAGATGGGGACAAGGCAACTGAACTTCATCCCCATCTCTCTCCCTCCTTTTTGTACCATATAAAGATAGCTTCCACTGCACTACATTTAATTATTTTTGGTTACTAGAGGCTTTGTTTATGAAGATGAAGCTCTCTAAGGGTTGTGAGACTGTTATACAACAACAATAAAGTTTGCTAAGAACCACATGGGAGGAGGAAATGTCCTGTGTGAAAACTTCCATAAGGAACCGTTTTCTGAAGACAGAGAAAGGAAAGGACAAGGAGGAACTACTGTTACATTGCACAGTTCAACAGGTTGAACTGAATGGGTGTCCTTCAGAAAATAAGATTCTAACGTGTAGTGCTGAAGCGATGTATGTTTCCCTATAACATTTTAGCCTGGAGTTGTAGTGCGAAAAAGAATAGGTTTTGTTCCAATTCTCTGCCTTGAGCTAGAAGTGCCAAGCATGGAGTGCCAGTTGACTTTGTAAGGAGGGTTAGCAGATGCGGTAGCAAATGGAAAGATTTCTGTTTACTCGGAACTTAGAGATGTTTGTGGCCTTTACTCTGAATAATAAGGCTGAGTGTTGATGCCTGAAAAGGAAGGAGCTCGTATGAGACCACATTCCTTGGTTCCTACGCAAGAGACCTCTGTGTGTTGTCAAGGAAACCAGCCAAAAACAAGGATTTGTTTTGTAGATGTGTCAGGGTTTTCAGCAACTTGGGGTTGGCCTGAGTTGGGCAGAAGCCAATGCTTCCTGTGAACTGGAAGCTCTAGCTGTTTGATAAAGCCAGTGTCCGCTTTGCTGTGGGAGTACTGATATCGAAACTGATACTGGATTTGGTGAATAGATACCGGGGGTTGGGGTTCTCTGCTCTGCAAGCAGTCCTGCTGGATGAGCCTGTGTCTGCATCTTTATTTCTGGACCTTGCCTTCGTTTTGATGAAAGACTTTTCATGATGTTTCAGGCTCGAGAAAGTTGGCTTCCTATTTTGCCGTCCCCTTGTCTGGCTGCTCCATGCTGGCTGTGGTAGAGATGCCTGTGAGGCCACATCCCATGTAGCTTTTTGGTGCGGAGAGGCAGCTAAGAGACCAGGAGTGAGTTCCAGTTTTATCCTGGCTTTTGTGAGATGAGCTCCAGCATCCCAGCATCAGCCCAGGGAGCATGGATGCCAACAACGGGGAGGCTTGGACACTAGCTGAAATTTTGTTTGCAGCTTTGTCCAGATATGTTTGAAGCTGAGCACTGGGCAGCTGCCGTAAAAGGCTGGCTGAGCTGCCCCAGCTCTTACAGTGAGCACAGGATATGTGTGCAGGGGCGGAAGGGGACCTACTGACCCTTATTCTAAATTGGGGACGCGGGGAGGATGCAGAATGCTGCTGGCAACCGCTGTTCAGTGCTTGTCAGGGGACTCTGTTATTACCAAAAAAGTAAAAGGTCTGGTAGCAGCCTCAGGAGGAAGAGGAGGCTTCCTTGCTACAGGATGTGAATCCTTCGGATCTCATAGGATAAAATGCATGAACTGACAAGAGCCAAAAGTTTGGTTACCTGCTAAAATAACTTACATAAGGTTGTCAGCATGATGGAAATCTGGATTTCTGTAAAACGTGTGTGTGCCACATTGGAAAGGTGACTGGTAAAGACTGCAGACTGCTGAACCAGGGGGGTCCCAAGAAGTCATCGTCTGTCTTCATGTTTTCAACTTGCAGAGAGGCAGACAGTAGGTTGGACTCTGTTGTGAGGGTCCTTTGTGCACAGAGTTTCCCAAGACTGTGCTCCTCCCATAGGTCTCATCACTCCTGAAACTCATGCTGAGTCACAACACGTTTGCCCCCTCTAGCAACTAGGCACTTCTTGGGGACCTTGCAGGAAAGGTGACTTCCAGGCAGGTCACCCAAAGCCCTGGGAGGAACAGGACCTGGGACTCAAGAGCTGAGAGCCAACAGGCATCAGACATTGGTCTTCAACATCTTGCGCCTGTGGCATTTGGCAGTTTGCTGAGAGCAGGAAGGTGAGCTGCAGCCTCCTGTAAACAGTGCCTACAAGAGCAAGATGGATGGAACACTTCCCTTCTTTTGTGCAAAGTTGTTTTTGAAGGTAATATTTTTTCCAGTTAACATAGTCAATTTTCTAACATTTTGAGCAGTTTAATGTCTGAATATGGCTTGCAAATGTTTAAGTTGCCACTTAAACATCAGTTGAAAAATTGCTTTGAGCAACTTTCAGCTTTTCAACATGAACAGGATTGGGCAGCAGTTTTATTGGTCTAAGCTGCTGAGCTTCTCGCTCTGTCACTTTCCATCAGGTCATTTCTGCTGGAGATGGCCTCCTGTGAGAAACAGATGTGGGCTGAAGAAGCTACCAGGGCTGAACATCTTCAACTGTTGCCCAAACCTGTTTGGAGCAAGTCTGCACAACGTGGAAGCTCAATATGGTATCTGCCTGAAGTTTTTTTTTTTTTTTTAAGATACAACACAAGTGAATGAACCTGATGGTAGAAATGTCTTTGTAAAACCTTATGCAGATTCACTCTTCTCTGGGTTTTAGAGGGATCAGCCTGACAAGTGTGTGATTTTAGCTTCCTAGAGTATCTGGGTTTCACTGTTTGGTTTCCTGTCTGTGCTTCTGCTCTGGGGAATATATCTGCTACCGTTAAGGAGGGCTAAATATTTTACATGAATGTATTGAATTTTTAGTAAATGAGGGCAGCAGTAACTAGGTCTGCTCAGGAAATACATGGTCTTAGACCATCAGACTTGGTCCTTCTCCAGTGGAGGTGATTTCCACTTGCTGTCGGTCTTGAGCGGGACTAGCTCATTTTGGAGAGCCCAACCTCTCTGCTCTTTTCTAACCCTGCTGGTTTTAGTTTATGATGTTGGTGGCTAAAGCCTGGGAAGGACCGGGATCTTTTGCAGTTGTGGTCTTTAAACCACCAGAGAATATTGGTGGAGGGTTATATTTCTTTCTTCTGTTTTTCTGTTTGTTGGCTCATGAAAATGCTGCTGTTTTGTAATGGGCAATTTTTGTGACTCTGATTCTTCTTGGCCTCACTGCTCCCGTATTTTGCGTAGTAAAGCAGTGCTTTGAGCAACGGCCTGAGCAATTCCCAAATTCCCCATGGTTCTCCTCATCCTGGTGTCCTTATCTGCTGCTGTCTGCGGCTCCATGACCAGGGCAGAAGGGCTAAAATAGAAACTCTTACGGAAAGAAGAGAGGAGGCTGCCTCTGAAACTGGTTAGGACGTGCCCAGGGCTCAGCCCATCCCAGAGCTCCAGAGGAGATTTAAAGCGCTTTGCGCTCTGAATTGCGATCACACGGATTACGTTTAACATTATCTTGATTGGTTTCCTTAATCTGCGGACCAGATTGGTGACGGTTTCTAGTCTTCCTCCAACTCAAATATTCAGCTTGT